TCTAATCACCTTCCCATCTCAGTGCTCTCATACTGGTGCAGACATGGGCCTCCAGGTCACACCAGGTTCAGCTGATAGAGTGGGGAAGCTGAGGTCCAGAGAGGTTATGTCATTGGGCACAGCCCTCCATTCCATTTCATTGAATTTGTCTGTAACCCTTTCTGTGAAGGAATAGCAGTGCCCAAACAAACAAAGGAAACGGAAAGATCAGTCTCAATATAAACTGGGGGAAGCAGGAGGAATCACAGGGCTGACAGCCCCCAGTCTACGTTGTGAAGGAGAAGTTTATCTTATTGTCTTTCCAAAGCAATCAGCCTTCACCTTTCTTTCTGATACTCAGGACCCCCTTTGAGAACCATTGCTCAGGATTCTAAACCAATGGCTTTCATTTTTTTTCTTTGTTGAGGGACCTTTTCTGCAGGCACAATTTTAGGGAAATACCCAAAACATAAGAGCAGAGCTGCTCAGGTGGGAACAGTCATGGGCAACTTGAATCCATCCTCGCTCCTCTTGCCGGAAGCTCTTGAAATGCTAAGGAACAACATTTTAAACCCACTGCTTTAGTCCGTTTTGTCATTACCCTTCTTTTAATCAAGATCCATAAGACTTAAGTCTCATTTCTCTTGGACAACATAGGTGACAGCTATCAAACCCTACCAAATGATCCATTTACCAATCTATTCAGAATAGCATAATAGTGGTGTAAAATCGGAATGGGGATCCTGCTGACAGCATTTTCATTTCAACTGGGATTTTATGAAGATAGTACCTCAAACTAAAGATCTTGTCTGCGCAAATTTCAGGTGCTAGAATGTCTTCCTGGGATATATTTCCAGAGCCTTTAAAGTTACTTCGACTGTGAGTAGGGACCATGCTAAAAGTCAAACCTCCTGTCACTATTATAAAAGTTGCCTTTCAAGTGACACTTCAATGAAAACTACATAATAAAAGAGATAAATTCCTTTATTTATTTAAGAGAATCTTCTCTTCTTGAGTTAGTATAAAATAAGAAATTAAGGACAAAACAGCACAGATTTCAGGTAGGAACAGGGAAGTTCTATTTGCTTTTGGTCCTTTGTATCTGGGCAGACAGATCTTGCATTGATAGATGTTTGGTTGCCAAATTCTGCACACACCTAAAATGTGACTCTCTAATTTCTTAAAATCACGTTAATAGATGTCGCTTTCCTTGCCCATCTTGCCACCTCCTATAAATATTCCCATGTTCACATGATTTTGGTTCCCCATGGGGTAATCCCATGAGCCTCCACAAGGGGGCAGGCTATACCAGACTGCACAGTTTTCTCTCTTTCCTTCTAATTTTTTTTTTTTGGGGGGGGGGGGGGCGGGGCGGGGAATCTAACCACCAAAAGAATGCCCCGGTTAAGCTGCTAAAACTGCCTCTCACTTCAGCTCAAGAAACTCTCACCTTTTTTTCATGTTCTTCGTGGATAAATGTGCTGAAGAAATTATGAGAGAATCTTAGGACTGAAAACTCAAATTCTCTAGCATTATTTCAAATTCTCCAAATGTGAGATCTAAAGGCAGACTCTGACTTGTAGTGTGCTCTTTGTATCTTCATTTTTACAACACACACACACACACACACACACACACACACACACACACACACACACACAGCAAAGGCCTTGGCATGGCCTGTTAACATTCCTATTGGAAAGGGAGGAAGAGAAAGGCTTTCTACATTACCGTGGATCATTGTCACTATATTTGAAAATGAAATGTGTGTGTGTTGTTTTTTTTTTTTTTAATAGATGAGACGAGTTGGATTAGGAGTTAGAAAGACGTGTCTCCTAGTCCTGGCTAGGTTTCTGACAGCTTGTGACCTTGAGCCCTTCCACTGAGTTTGGCTCTTCTTCTCTTTGCTCACCTGTGAAATCAGTGCTGCAACCCTCCCAGCAAAGGGCAGCCAGCACTTTCCTTGCATAGACCAGAGGCTGGTGGCAATGAAGGAGGGGAATCCTTAAGCCGGGAAGCCAGGCCTGGGTGGTCCCTGTCCTGGTGTCATTTACTCTTACACGGAACCCCATCTAGTGCGCAGAGGGGCCCTCAGCCCGAGCAGATAGGCTCATCCCTTTGCTTCCTGTTTACCGATAACTTGAACCAGATAATAGTTGCTGTGGGCAAAATGGAAAGGGAATACAGAAACCCGCAGTTGCCGGCAGGAAACATTTTACTGGACGGAGAGAATGAAACCATGAATCATCGTTCACCAGACTCCATTCTGATAGAAATTAAAACACTGATAATACAAACCACAAGTATTCACTGCCCTGGAGGAAGAGGTGGAGAGAGCACCAGGAGAAGGCCTCTATGGGATGACACTTAGGCAGATGGACAGAGGGAGCGGAGCCGCAGAGCAGGCCCAACAACACACATGAATCATCCCAGGGCTGACAGGCAGGGAGAAGGGGAAAGGCTGTGCCTGCAAGTGAGAAATGAGGGGGTTTGAGTGTGTGCATTTGCAGAGGTGACACTGAGTGGGCCATGTCAGGGTGGCAAAGACCCGCAGGGAGCGAGCGGCAGGGGGCACTGAAGAGAGATATGGGAGGAAATGGGCTTGGGCCCGGCCCCTCCCACCCCCCCGCCTGCAAAGGACCAACATACATGCTTTGCCATGTTAACTTACAAAGGAAGAAGATGACATAGCATATGAAAGCGATGTGTGCATACAACAATTAAGAGGAAATGGAAGGGAACCCATAAAAGCAAAACTCTTTGATTCGTTGTGGTAGCAAAAAACCTGAGAAGCCATTTTTTCATCCAGTTCCATTTCCTTTTATACTGTTAATTTAGTAAATAATTTAAAGCACAAAGAGTGGAAGGAAGGAAAGGCCATGGTAAAGCACCAAGGAGACAGAAGTTAAAACTCATGAAACCAACACCAGGATCTGGCCAGAAGGGGCATCCCTTCTGAGATCAAGAGGAGAGTGCAACAGCCCAGTGGTTAAGGGCCCAGACTCTGGGGCAGTGTGACTTGGGCCTCAGTTTCTCTATGTGTAAGATGGAGGTAATACGTACTTACCTCAGAAAGATTTTTTTAAGATTAAATGAAATAATATATGTAAAGGGCTTGGGACCCGCCCAATTCACAAGTTCTCTTTTTCCCCATTACCTGGGGAGGCCAGGGCTCTGGGTGGTGGAGTGCACAGCCCAGACCAGAAGGAATTAGGCCTGAAGGGGCAGGGAAGCAAAACTCCACCCTCAACACCCCCACCCCCTGCCTCCCAGCAGTCAGGTGAGTGGTCCCTGTAGGGACAGGAAAAGAAATGAAACAGCAAAGGAGAGGACAGGGAAGAAAGTGAGAGGGAGTGGGAACACAAGCACACACACAGTAAGGTGGGAAGACATCGTCTGAGATCAAATAAAACCATAAAGGAAGGGGAAGAGCAAGAATGAGATCAAGCTATTGGGCCAGTGATGGATGCTGCTGTCCGGGAAGGGGAAGAACACTGGGTCTGGGGCCTGAACCCTGGGTTCTGTCCTGGCCAAGTGTCCCTGGAAAAGTCATCAATCCTCTCTTAGTATCATTTTTTAAAAAATCTGTGAAAGTGAACATAGTGAGGCCAACCTCAGAGAGCTGTTGGGACCTTAAGGGAGAGCATGTTATGGTGGGGGCCCAGCACCCGAATTATGTAAAGAGAAACGCCTGTCCTCGGGGTCCGGGGGGGCACCCCGCTCGCTGCGGGAGAGAAGCAGCCCACCTCGCCTTGCAGCGTCCGGCCGGGAGCGGAGCGGAGCAGTGGGCGGGAAGGCAGGCCCGAAGAATCTGGGGACAGATAAAGGAAACTCGTGATGGGGCGAGGCTGGGCTGAAGAGAAACAGATTGGGGAAGAGCTGCGAAGGGAGGGTCCGCAGCCCGGGAGGTGGAGGCCGGGCGGGAGAGAGTGGGAAGGCAGAGAGGATGGGAGGGCAGAGCGAGCAGAGAAGCGGGCTGGGGAGAGAGGGCTTGGAATGCAGAGAGCGCTCGGGGAAGGAGGAAGGACTGAACGCAGAGGGAAAGAACTGAGGGGAGATGGGGGCGCAGGGGAGGCGGGGACACACCGCCCGCGGGAAGAGGACCCGGGGGGCAGACGGAGAGAAGAAGCGGTTGAGCCCGCGCCAGAGGAGGTCGGGGACTCCCCGAAGAGGGGCTGCGGCCTGGAGGAGCGCGCAGTGACTTTCAGCATCCATCCAGGCTCTAGAGAGTGACCTCTGCCTGACCTGGCGGGTCGGAAACAGACGCCCTGTCTTGGTGGAGAGCCGTGCCCAGCCGAGGGAATGGGGCTGCTCAGGGCTGGGCCCTGGGCCTGGCGCTCGGCGAGGCTTCTCCGGCCCAGGGCTGGATCCTAAGGGGAGCGGACGGCGGGCCTGGAAGCGGGGGCAGAGGAAGGAAGGAAGGAAGGGACCACCGCCCGGAGCCGGCGCGCAGTGGCCTGCAGGGGTGCCTGCCCCGCGCTGTCTCCGGGGGGCGCCGCCGCCCGGGCCGCAGGCTCCCAGAAAAGGGGAGGCGGATGGCGAGGATCGAGAGCCTGCCTGGCGCTGCGGAGGGACCGAGCTTCAGACAGGGCTAGGGGGACCCGGGCACTGCGGATGCCCCTGGATTCCTCGCTGCGGGGCGGCCGCGCCCTCCTTCCCCTGCCCGGCGCCCCTGGCCCGCTCGGCGCGCTCCGCCCGGCAACCCCGAGCGCGTCCCGCAGGGGCGCTGCGTCTCCCTCGCACACCGCACGCCGCGGACCCTCTCCCCCACGCCTCCCCTCCGGCCGTACCACCCGGCCTCTCCTCCCACCCTCCGCCCCCCTCCCCTCCTCTCCCCTCCCCTCCCTCACCCTCTCCCCCCTCCAGCCTAGGGGCGGGAGGGGGCGTGGCAGGGCCGGGGTTGGTGTGGCTGGGACCCGGCTCGGCGCACTCGGAGTCCGCCCCGGGAGCCGGCCCGGCCGCTGTCCAGCCAGCCCGCGCCTCTCGCGCCCTGCGCCGCCGCCGCCTGCCACCCGCTCGCCATGGATACTCCCAGGGTTCTGCTCTCGGCCGTGTTCCTCATCAGTTTCCTGTGGGATTTGCCGGGTTTCCAGCAGGCTTCCATCTCCTCTTCCTCGTCCTCCGCCGACCTGGGCTCCGCCAAGGGAATGCGAAGCCGCCAGGAAGGGAAGATGCCCCGGACGCCGCCCGAGAGTGGCACGGCCCGGGCGCCCCCGGAGCTGCAGGAGCCGCCACCGCGGGCGCAAGAGGAGCCCCAGGAGCCGCCGCGGGCGCAGGAACCTCCGGGCGGGAGCCCGCGCGTGGTGCCCCACGAGTACATGCTATCCATCTACAGGACCTACTCCCTCGCGGAGAAGCTGGGCATCAACGCCAGTTTCTTCCAGTCTTCCAAGTCGGCCAACACGATCACTAGCTTTGTAGACAGGGGACTCGGTAAGTGGCCAAGAAGACGCCAGACGCCTCTCCCCGGGGTGAGACCTCCCCTCCCGCTCTAGACGCCTCTCCTTTCTTACACTGTTTCCCCAAAAGTCCGAGTAAGTTTCTGGATGCAGTTTTAATGACAGTTCGCAGCCTCCCTCCCTCCTCCCTTCCTCCTTCCCCTTGTCTTTTGTAGAAAGCAGCGTGGTGGCCGCCGCTCTGGTGGCTGCTGGAGGAAGCGTGGAGGGCGGGAGGTGGCGGGCAAGCGACCTGAGCGGCAGAGGATCGCGGTGGGTCGGGACGGAACCGTGCCACCGGGTCGCGGGTTTCGCGGGGGGCGCCGTCCAAGGCCTGACCTGCGGCGGGGACCGCGCGGGCCCTGGGGCCCGAGTGCGCGTTGGGGCGCCCCGAGCCCCCGTCCGCTCCGGGACAAGCCGGCGGCAGCGAGGCCCGCGGGCGGAGGAGCGAGTCAGCGAGCCGCGTCTGCAGGGCCCTCTCCCCGCGGCTGCAGGGGTTCTGGGCTCGTCAGCCGGGTGGGAGCCGTGTGCCCTCGGGTTTGGTTTTGTTTTTTGTTGCTGCCGCAGGGCGCTTATCCGATGCTCCGAGGCGTTTCTGCAGAGGCAGCAACTGGCAGGGGAGCCCGGGCAGGAGCAGGGGCAGGGGCAGGGGCAGGGGCAGGGGCAGGGCAGCTCGGATTGAGGTTTGTTGGCATTTAGTCCACATGGTGCTGGGTGTGCACATCCACCTCCCTCGGCCAGCCCACGCGACTCTGACGCTCCTACCAGGGCCGCAGCCCCTGGCCCTTTGCGGCGGGGGCGCCTGGCTGGGGGAGGGGGGGGTGCAGAAGCGCGCGCCCCCTCCTTGCCGCCGGTGCTGGTGCTGGACTGCAGCGTGGGGATGCCTGCGAGAGAACCTCGAGCTCCCCCTGGTCCCAGAACTTGGAGGGGGATGTACAGGCGCCAGAACTCAGCTCCTAAAGAGGAGAGAGAATAACGTGGATGGAGACTGGGAAGGAAGGGAGGAAAGGAAAGGAAAGGAAAGGAAGGGGAAACGGGGAGGGAGGCGAGGGGAAGAAGGAAGGAGATAAAGGAGATGCAGGCTGTTATCTGCTCCGTTATCCTGCCCGGCTTTAGCTCCGCGCATGGACCCTCCCCGACTCCCACTGCTGGCCAGTGAAAGTGGGGTGCCCCGGGGACCTGCGAACGCCGGGGTTCGGGCGGAGAGGGCTGCGCTGCCTGGGGTGCCCGCATGTCCTCGGGGCCTTTTCAGAGCCGGCCAACGGCCCTGGGCTTCCCGGGCTCCCGACCTCAGGCTCCTCGCCGGCCGTCGTGTTCCTTTGGAGCCGGGTCCTGGCCGTGCGAGAGCCGCCGCTGCAGCCCAGCCGGAGGCCAGCGAGGTTCGGGGGCCGCTGGAAGCCCAGGCGGCCAGTGAACGCCGGGCGTTCTATGGTGATCGCAGGGCTACCAGCGGCACATTTGCGCACACCCCTGGCCGGAACCGGGTCCCCGGCCACCGTACCACCAGCCAACTGCCCCCTCCACTCGCACCTCTGCTTCTGTCCCCCTCCCTCCCGATCTCCCGTTGATCCTCCGCCTTTTCTGCCGCCCTCGTCGGAGGAGCGGGGAGAACCTCGCTCCAGAGGCCTTTCCCCCGGGGAAGAAATCCCCGAGGCCCCGCGGGCGGGCGCGCCTTCTCCCCCCCTAAGGAAGGCTCCCAGCAGCGCCGCCCCTCCCCCAAGCGGCACTCCTCGCCAGGGAGTTTGGCCGGTGACCAGGGGACTCCGCAGGGGGTCGGAGGTGCCTGCCAGGGGTCTCTGGGGCTCTAGGTCCGGGTCAGACGCGGGCTGGCTTCACTCTTGCCTCCGCCGCAGCCCCTCCCGGGGCGCCGCGCTGGGAGCCCCCGGGCTCCGGAGCCGGGGGAGGGCCTGGCCGCGCGCCCAGGCCGAGGCTGGGGAGGGGGGTGGGGGGGTCTCAGTTTCCCAGCCGAGGTCTTCGGGCTCGCTGGCCCGGGACTCCAGCTCGGGAATGCCGCGGAGAGCCGAGGCGGCGCGGTCCCCGGCAGGAGGAGGCGCGGCTGGGGCGCCTGGACCGCAGTTTCCAATGCGCGGTCCTCTGCACGCCCGCGGGCCCCTAGGACCCGGGAAGAAAGGCGGGCAGTTGACGGGGAAGGCCCTGGGGCCGGCCGCACGCCGCGCGGGGGCCGAGGCTGGAGGGGGCGCTCGGAGGAGGGGCGCGTCGCGGGCTGCGGCCCCAGCTCGATCAAGGGCAAGCCTCACTTTCCCTCTCACTGATTTTGATTTGATGTGTCACCGGCGGTGACCTCGGGCCGGACCTTCCGGGGCTTGCTTAGCATCGGGCCCCTGATTGGCGTGTTTCCACTCAGCGATCTAATTGAGGGTTCATGTCATAACACATCAAACGGTGTCTAGTCTCCGGTGATGGAAGGGACCCGCCGGCCGCGCATCCCCGGCCCCTGGCCGGGACTTCCGCCCCTCCCACGTGGGGACTCTGCCCCGCGCCAAACCCGCCAACGTCCCCGCCCCCACCCCGTGGGCCGCGGGGCCTGGCCGCCCGGCCTGGAGGATGTTTAAATCGCCCTCGGCTGCGGCGGGCCCGGCTGCGAGGAGCAGGGGTCGGTCAGGGGGAGGAGCAAAGCCAATGGCAGGAATCCCGAAGCCGGCGCGCAGGGCGCAAGGCGAGCGCTGCTTATTCACGTGCAGCGTTGGCAAAAAAGCTTCCCTCACCCGGAACCCGGAGCCCCAGACGTTCCACCTGAAGCTTGCTAGTAAGAGCGGAAGAGCAGGGATGAATGCCTTCCAGAGTGAATGAAGAGCGTTTGGGGTCTATTAAGACAGCAAGACTTGCTCTACCTCCCCCATGCCGCCCTCCCCACCCCTGAGCCCCCAGGAGAACTTAATGCAATTGAAAAAAATTAATATGTTCTCCCCTTTCGATTTGCTATGCACACATCTAGGGGTAATAATAGCAACCAAGATGTTCTGAGCATTTGCTGTGTACCAAGTATTAGGCGAAACCCTGTCACATGAGTTACATTTTATTCCATTCTAACCACCATCTCCAGGAACGTGGCACAATCACTGTTTTACGGGTGAATTAAGGAAGACAGGGAACCGCTAGTGAGAGGTGAAGCTCATCTCTGGTTCTAGACCCTTATGCTTGCCTAGGGCACTGCACAGGGTGGGGAGGTTTCTAAAAGACTGTGGCCAGAAGCACAACAATGGACAGATCTACCTTAGGCTCTTAAGATCCAGCCAGCAGTTGGAGCGGAACTTTGGATTGAAGGGTCTGCCTTGTTTCCTCTGTATATCCCTTGTGCAGGGCACAAACTGTGTGATCCCTGACGTCTTAAAATGCCTTCACATTGTTCTTTTTAAATTATTTTGAATCTATAAAGATGATAAAGTGTGTGTGCATGTGTGTGTGGGTAGAGTCATAGGATCAGAATGGACCAGGCTGGATAGAGAGAAATTACAGTTAGAACACGATATAACTTAGTACAAGCCTGGATCCCCGAACTCGAGGGCCTGGGAAAGTCTGACAACTAGAACTTCTATGAATTCAATGTGACTGGAGAGATAGAAAGGAGGGAGGGAGGGAGGGAGAGAAACAAAACTGGACGTTCAGTTTATGTAGTGAGAAGTGCCACACAATTCCAACAAGGGCGGCAAACACACTTCCCAAGGATGAGGACACCAAAACGAGGCTAAGACTATGGCTGCGACTTAGGTTTCCAGGTGATTTTGAAAGAACACGCTTTAGAAGTCTTGTTGGTTGTTGTCACGATAGTACGCTCAAAAAGGAGGCAGTAGGGAACAGATAAAACCCAAAACGAGATCGGAGGAGCATCCTTGGAGAACTCAACACCCTAGACGTGAATCTCAGGAGAGTGTGAAGCTGATTGTTTGCTGGCTTCTTGGTTTACCTTCTGGGCCGTGATTCTCTGGGGGTAGGGCCGGCCCGCTGCAGGGTCGCGGTGCTGCGGGGAGGAGTTCCCTCGCGGCTGAGGTTCGCCTGGGACAGCAAGTTTACGCAAAACAGCGCATTAACAGCGAATTTCTGGGTGGACCTGGGCCGCAGAGCGCTTTTGTAATCCGCGCAGCAGCGCTTGTGCCCGGACCCTGTTGTCGTTGGCAAACGGAAAATGAAATATAAGCGGGGAAGTATTTTAATGGGGACGGAGGGAATTCACAACTGTTAATTATTTGGTGACCTTGTATTCGATTTGTTTGAGTCCCTTATAAAAACACTAATGCAGACCAGACGGCCAAGCGAGGAAGCCGGCAGAAGGTTCCAATCTAGGCTTTTATTTCCCCGGAAAGAGGGAACGGCTTTGGTAAAGGGTTGCTGAGCGTCCGAGGGTGTGCGTGTCTGTGCGCGCGCCCGCGTCACCGCCGACGCGGGGTGTGCCTTTCCCAGCAGGTTCCGGACGCTCCTCCAGCCGGGGAACCGCAAAAGTTTGGGAAAAAGTTTGGGAGTCAGGGAAGGAAGTCTTAAACCACAAGTTTGTTCTGAACTTCTGGTTGGAATGATTAAATCACTAAGGCCCCAACCAAACCCGTAGCCATTGACTGGCTTGTGGTTCAACATCAGTTATTGTCACGCGCATCCCTAAGGCCTTGAGGACTCCTTGGGCGACCCCGACAGGGTCCACCTTAGCCAGAAGCTAGGGACACCTACGGCCTCTGCAGCCAGAACGCAAGCTGGCACAGTAGTTCTGGGCGACCTTCCTGAACCGGAGAGGCTAATCCCAGGACAAGGAGCGTGTCCCCCACGCGGGCTGCTTCCTGGCCCGGGGAGTTTGCTCCCTAGAGTTGTGTCATTTCTGCACACTTTAAAACAAAATGACCTAAGCCACAGCCCATGACAGGCCGTGGGAATGCCTTTCCAGAACACCGAACCCAGAAATGAAAGCTCCTCTAGGGGACAGGAGAGGATGCGTGGGGTCAGGACCCCGGGGGACATGGGGCGTTGCATTGGCAGAGGCCCTAGCGCACC